GCATACAGACCTGATTTAGTTTAATGCGTCTATCCAGAATATGACCCCATATCGCGAAACAACAAGTACTGAACTCATTAAAATGTAGTTGCCTATTTTAGCAGACCGGATGACACAATATTCTACTGGCTACCATGAGACATCATATAGGCGGGCGTGCACTGTTCAATACGTTCCACACGCGAGCATAATCAGGTTTGAGTTGAGGGCGTCTGCATACACTGAAGTGTTTTTTATACCAAATGTAATAGCTCTATAGCACGCATTTGAGACCGTTATAATCGGTAATCGGTTCCGTTCAGTTGTCGAACTATTGTCCTTTTATTCGCATTGCCGGTGACAGACGTTGAGTATTTGCCAGTGCATTGCTGATATGACGTAGACATTAACCTGATGAAAATTCTCCCATCCATGATCTCCCTATGAAGTCATCATGCTTTAAAACGACATCAGAGTGTATCAAATATTTTAGATTTGCGATTTCATATACGGGGCGCGAATTTACTGACCGGAAGGTCCGTGGTTCGAATTCGACCTCTGCCTCTCGACTTCCCCTGTTTAGGCTTGGGCAAACTGAGGGTATCCTAGCCCTCGTGTTTCTTTTGGGTGGAATGGCAGCTAGGGACCGAAAGGGTGTGTCAGCTGAACGACGAGGGTTTGTGATGTGGTCCCAATGTAGTACCTTACAGGGACTGAGTGTTAAAAAACGTAGACTGCTTTAGGTCTTTGTTTTTGCGACGACATGCGTACAAATTATCCGAATGTGCGCCAAAAGCCTGGATCACCGATGCATCAATCAACGGTCTTATCACTCGGCTTACGGAGCTGTTTTTAACGATTAGCTAAATGCGTCATAAGTTAAGCGAAAAGAGTAGTCGTGAGTAGTAAGTTTACCTGCTTCAGCTAGTTATCGACTGCCATGTTGAATATAATGGTCAGCAATACACCAGCCTGGAAGTTAATCGGGTCGTGAAGTCTCTTATCAATTATGGATTGATTGTGAAGAGACTGGCAGATCAATACGTATAAATGACAGGTGTTTTAACGAAATACACTCATTTACAAACTAATTTGGTTTTGAGAGAAACTCACCTGAAACCCAGCTGAATCTCTCGTTTGTGATGTTTCTAGGCAACTGAATATGCTGAACCAGACCGCCCCATGTTTCAGTCGCTACGATATTCGTATGTATATTCGTAATGCACTACTCATAAGGTCGCTGAAAATTCGTCGACAGCCCACAGGTGTTTTGTTTCACTTAGCAAACCCCATAGTTGACTGGAATGCTTTGTATCCGGCTTCTGGAAAGACCGTCAGATTTAATGAACTTTAACCACTGGGTTCAATTTCCGATGCATATAGAATTCTTATTTATAGCGTTTCATACTCCATTTCACAAACAAGCTGACGTATTTCTGAGCCTCCTTCATGCTTGCCTTGCTAAATGCCTAGGAAGGAGAAAAGCTGTCTAAAAGACGCACCAGATTACTCCTGGTTTTGAAGGCCCGTCAAGAGCTTTCAACTGTGAGAAAATAAGCTCTAAAGAGTTTGACGAAGATACTTTTTCCACGGGTGCTGAATAACCGAAAAAAGAACGAGCAAAAAGTGGTTACAACAGACAAATATGACGGGTTTTTGACCGAATAATGTTTTTGAAATCGGACATCCCGGATTTGAACTCAGTTGCAGCAGATTGTGAGTCGCTTAAGAGTCCCAGGGTCCGCTTAATTATGCTCGAAATTGCCTTTTCGAACCTGCCATCAGTTCAATCGACCTACGTTCAGATGTAAAATGACTTGTTTACACGAGCTATTGAAGTATTTTACCATGTATTAATAACAGACATGAATAACTCAACATTCGAATGAGTAAGTCTGAGAATTTCCTCAGTGTGAAGGAGGAATTTGAGAGGAACCACCTTTCTTTACCAAGACGCTGGAAACTTTTCAACCAGTGTTCAACCACCAATCGAAATAATTTCCTTCCGTTCTCTTCCCCAGCGGACATTGCGATAACAGAAAATCCGGTCACGTGGTATGACGCGTTCGATGAATGTGCCATAAAACAAAGGATATTCCTGTTCCCCTTATCTCAGAAAGTGATCGTAAGTCCGAAATTCTCGTCTTCAAACAACTTATAACGGATTCTTGTATCTCACGGAGTGGTATTTTAAATAATGTGAACCCTTCCCTATTATTCCCGATACTACTCAAAGCGTGGATGGAAGATTGTTCAAAACACACTTGTACACTTCCCCGTATCTCTCCGTTCATATGACTGGAAAAGTTGGGATGTCTCAGTGGAAGATATTTTAGTAAATCCCAGTTGGCATAGGCAAGTACCGACAAATTCTCAATGAGGTCAGCAGAATACGGGTGGTCGATGAAGCGACGAGTGCTGTCAGAATCACAAACTGAATCGGTGCCGTTAGTAGCTGCCCAGGGCGACTGATCATCCACCCAAACTGGGCTCTGCGTAGTCGATAAGAAAGAATAATCATGTTTTGATATGAGGGAATACTTGCATCCCCTGAGTGAAATGTGTTCTCTAAGATGGGTTATACGTGTTGTGAAACTGAGCTCAACAGTGTTGGAAACGCCAGTTTTCATACTCATTGTGTTATAGAATGTGTGGAATTGTAGGAACCTCAAATACTTGTGATAGACTAACGCAAGACGTCAAGGCCATTGTCGATTCGGTCGAATGGATAAGATGCAGGTGACCTAGGATTGATCAGTATGTTTGTTGTGGACCACAGTCTCCTTAATGCTTTCCTATTACCGTGAACCCCGGTCTGGATAGCCGATTGATAGCCTGGTGTGCTTGGCCAAACCAGAACGTCCGAACAGGCTGATCTATTGATCTCTGTCGCGTACATGTGGGTCAAAATGTGATACTAAGACTATAACTCATCTGTCAAGGACGAGTGAAGAACAGCCAATGAAATCCCCTTCAACGAAAACGGCTATTCCATTGGCTGTTATATAGTCCCGTTACGTTCGTAGGTGGTTCTCCTAGTAATGTCAACCAATGAAAATTAGCGGGCAGTTAAGCGTTTCATGGGCAGGAACCTGATGATGGTGTGATCTTGTCGGGACTTCGGCTATTTACTGTGGTCCACACAGGTAGCGAAAATACTCGTACAATGGGTAACATGTTCACCTTGGCAGAAATTCTGATGGTGTTATGGGTGAATCAGAAACAACAAATCGCGGTACGCACTAGGTGACAGACATGCACGTTTGTAATTCCTCGATCGAATTTGCGTCAATGAAGCTGGCTGGTTCTTTCACGGCTAAATGTGCGTCACAGTCCAGGATGGGGAAAAAGTGGTTGAACAGCAAGCGACTTTGTAATCAATCGCCACACAGACAGTAGATTCCCAATAAATATCCAAATAAGTGCATAGAACCATTGTTGCTAACTCCACACGTTCCCGTCTGCCTCCGCAAATAGTATGTGGACATCTTCACTGCAGTTTATTGATGGTGCCAACCGTGTGATGTAAAATTACTGGGCGAAGAAGAGCTTTTTCAAAGAATCTATTAGAAGAGCGTGTAGTGGTTAGGAGAACCTGATCGGCCAAGATACCATTGAAAAAACGATGGGATCAATATCGATCGTTGGATGCAATCATACCGGTCGTGAACTGATTGGATTGCACGATAGCAAAGAAGCTTTGAGAAAAACACTGCGCGAAAATGTAAACAAAACACCTGATGGATAAACTTAGTTTCGTCAAAAAACACTATTTCTGATCCAGAAAACACGTGTTCAGCAATAGAAGACGAGAGAAGAAACACCTGTCCAATGGCTAGTTTATTGTGCTTCTCATGAAGTGTAGCGAGATGTTTAGCCGCCAGGACTCGTCAAGAAAGCGCACGATACGATCGATAAAAGCAATCCATGCGTTTGTTTTTTGACATGATTCGAGTGAAAGTTTCTAAGACAGTCTAAGAACGAAACCTAAAAAAGCCCCCTCCAGCTTCCTTTAGGTTGCCAAAAAATCTGCAGCAGTGGTGCAAACACACACCAGGAAAACAAAAGGTAGTCGTTTTAAACTAGCTTCGTAGGCTTTGCTTGATATGAGTAAATCGTCGGAATATGCTGCCACAACATACTTTCGTAATAAAGTCATAAATATGATACTGAGACGTGTTACGACTTCCGTGACAAGATATGTGGAGATTTAGACGGTTGAATAATATTGAAAAATCGCTTTTTCGCGCATAAATGTGTATTTTCTAAACGTTCGTAATATAAGTTGGCTCACCCAGTCAATGCAAAGCTGTGAGACTGCCAGGATGAACTTCGTCTCATCTATCCTAAGCTTGACTGGAGACGCTGCAACATGCTGCTACTAGTGTAACGGTGAAATTACCAATGGGGAGGCATGCGAGTAGTATGTGGTGTTCTTGGAATTTCGCTTTGCGTCTCTTGAAAAGGGGAGATCCGTTGCGGAATTTGTGGAGTCACTTTGTAACATTTGCTCGCATTTGAGCAATGAGTGATTGGAGTCAGTAAATATATGCAGGAAAGTTCAAGAAAACGCGTTTAGGAGAAGATGGATGTCCAGTTTTTGTAAATTAGATGCAAATTAGATGTGAATTAGATTGCTTCCCTGTCCAATAGTCCGTAACCGGTCAGTTGGCATTTTCTAATAAATAACTCCGCAGCGAAGGCCTTCTTGCTTTCGCTAGTCCTTGTCTGTAGCTGTCAGTACCCTTGTTGTTAACAGTTTCCATCCAAGTTGTCTGGAGGTAAAGGGGCACCTCGAAATGTCTGCAGTAGGCAGGCAATAGATCTGTTCTGTCCGAACGTTTGCTCCGTTTTCCACAATAACACTTTAAGGTAGCCCACAGTTACACGACAGTGGATCAGCATCGTTCGATGCTGACAATGCTGCCGGGGTTCGGAGACCGTATGCTGTTTAGATGATAGCAGTAAAGGGTGGTGAAATTTCCCTCAGTTGACATTTCACTGTTGGGCTGATGGTGACGAGAGGGTACAGAAGCAACGCGAAGTAACTCGCACGTTTTCTTAAGGAAATTCATCAAAACCATAACTTTTTTAGAGTGGTTTTGCCATTACCGTCGCCACAATCCTTATCGTTATTGCTTGTCGTCAATCCTCTTGTTTCTTGCGGATTTCGCAGCGAGTGCATGTCACCCATTTTCGTTCTGAATCCCAGTGTTCTCAGCTGATCACCAAAAGAGGTTGTGTTTAGTTGGCTTACTTCACACCTAGAAGACACATACTACTAATGTGTATGTCGCCCAGTGTAGTCCACGTTCGCGAGGACAGTTGAACTCTTCTACTAGCTTCAGCGAGTTTGGGATGGCTCACTGGTTAAGGCGCGAACTTATTGACCAGACGTTCGGTGGTTCGAACCCAACCCCAAGATCTCTACTGTTCCTGTCTTGGGCTGGGAAACTTGGCAGTATCTCAGCCCTCGCGCTTTGTTCACGTGCAATGGTAGCTGGGAGTCGATAGGGCGTTGGGGATGAACGATTATTTTTGGTCTTAAAGTGCCTGGCAATGCTTTCACAACTTTGCACTGCGATGGACTTGGTTAGAGTGAGCATTATTCTCGCGTACGGAGCAAGCCAACGTAAAGCACAATCCATTCTTTAGTAAATGTTTTTGGAAACAGAGACGGTAGCAAGCAGGTGGACAGAAATCGAGCTGACAGACAGAGACATGGTGTGTTTTAGTCACTTTGCCGAAGATCGTCAGTCTGCTCAAAAGCGGCTCAGTTTGGAATATGAAACAATTCAACCTCTTCCATTCCCTTCTTTCGGAGACGACGGGTAATGGCATGCGCCCATGTGGGGTTCGAACTCGGGCCACCGAATGATTTGACGTGACAATATTGTCCCGTCACAACGGCTTTATCAAGCTACCGCTGCCAATTCCTCGCCACTCCACATAGCTTTAGGAATCGTGTTTTATTAAAAATGAACCAATCAATGAATTACACCGAAATTCAGGAAGCCTAGACAAATAGTATTTTCAGCGAAGGTAAGCGATTTTCGGAATTTGGATACTTGTATTATTTGAAGTCCAAGACACCAACAAAAACCTATTTCGTCGTTTTAAAGTCGACCAGAAATTGATCAAAACTCAAAGTATTCGAGATTATCTTTGTTGGATACTTTCTTCTAAGTGGACCTTGGTTAAGATGCTTATAGTTTAACTACTCCTAGTCCCAGCATTAGGCACATACAACAAAACCGTGTCGTTGATACCCACGCAATCTATCATCCATCCTACTTTCTTCTGGTCTCTGCACATAGGTTTTCCGTCACTCGGTTTTCCGTTCGTTTCTGGGCTGCACAAAGTTTGCATATTTTTAATAGTCTTGTGTCTTGCCAACACATTTTCAAGTATTATCGGAGTAATAGCAAAGTTATTCATATGAAGGTTCCGGTATGTTAGCCAAATCGAGTCACTTCAATTGGGCCGTCACACGTCGTAAGAAGTAACCCACCACTCGGTTAGCATGCACAATGTCCCATTAAGGAAGAGGCAGGAAACCGGAGACCGAACCTGTGCGCACTGTTGCGTCTCCAAGATAGCATCACCAATCACAGCTCTATGTGGAAATTCCCACAGAATTGATAAGCTTCCCGCCATGCGACAATATCTGGACAGGGTCTGGTGCAGTGGTACAACACAAGGAAAAGCCAATAGCCGAAAACAAAATCATGAGGAAACTCCGAACGATCGTAACCACTTCAAACATTCAGTGAGAACCATGTTGCAGACGAACCCCCGGTGCGGATAAATTCTTCTCCGAAATGCCTCTAACCCTGTTGCCTATGATCACCATCAAAGAACCGAGGTAGTAGGCCACTACCTCTGCTATGCAAAACTTTTCATTTGAAAGATCTGTTGTAAAACAAGAATGAGCAAGAGACAGAGGAATAGCTGGTGTAATGGTGTACACTACTGATGTGGCATGTAAGTAGTCCGCTGCCCAGTGTCAAGGCTCCGCCTCCTCACCTGAAGCAAGGCGAACGTTACTATGGAAATTACAGGACTGCTTCGAAGTGTTTATGATTAGCTACCCTTTCAAGAGTATCCAAGAATGTTCATGAGGACGCTTGGGAATGTTCCCCTTTCAAAAACTCTGTGCATGTGTTTATTTTCGTGTCTAACAGCTTGGAACCTTTTGGCTCGTGTTCGGTAATAGACAACTTTGCACCGATGAGCTTCTCTCCTGCTTCAAACACTTTAAGCTTCTCACATTCCCGGAAAATCTGAGGGGAAGTTGCAGGGAGACAGGCACCGATGTCAGTCATTTCCAGTAAATCACAAGGAGGATTAAGCATATCTCATTCAACAATTTCGACTGCAGAGACAGCATTCAGACTTCTCGAAGTACGACAAGTACGCGGTTCTTACAGCCGACAGTGATGATGCTGATGTCAGGTCCAAATTCGGTAGATACTTTTTCGGTGCCTAGCTGTCACGCCACCCGAAGTAACCATAATGCATCAAAACTAGAGGCAAGAGCGTTTCGGATCGACTCTACTAAATTTACTGTATTATGCAACATGTGTGTCAGCTGGTCCGAGGCAAAAGATTTATTGCACCCTCAGAGATGCATAGTATTCAAAAAGCGATCGCCTTTACGGCGTCTTTGTGACAGATGCCTGAACTCAATCACCCATTTAACCAGACTTCTTATAGCTCAGTGCTTTCCAGTGAAATCAGCTTTCCGAGGAACGTAATTACAGTTCACTTATGGTCTAAAACTTGAGCCTTCCTTCGTTTGCATGTAGTGACTGATACTGGTGTTATTTCACGTCATTCTACTCAGATATCTCAAACGGTACGGTCTCAAACGACCATCTGTGCTTCACCTAATGGGTCTCATTTTGTCTTTTACTACCCAGTTTAGTTTGCGCGAATGTCTGAAAACGTTTCGCTGTGACCATGGTTTGCTTTCTTTCCCAAAAAAGCACACTTAAAAGTACTTGTTTAATCACTGGACAGCTTTTTCTGTCACGTGCTTTCCCCAAAATAGCGTTTGCCATATCCTCATTGATAGGCCAGGTCGATTCCAGGTTGTTGGGTAGATCTGTGGCTAGCCTCTCTAGTTTCACTCAGCAGGGATGCTATCGGGTTTTTTCCAAGGAAAGGTAATGACCGCAAAAGAGCTATATGAAGCTGAGTGCTTGGAAAACTCACTGAGGTGCTAGAACAAACAGGTAGGGAATGTAGGCCTTACGAAACGGATCATGTTAAATTCACGTAATCCATCAGCCATTGCTGTCGTACAGTGACAAACAGACTCGGAAGACGTATAATGCTATCCATAAAACATTTTCTCCGCGTCCATGAAAACGCATGCAACAACGCTTAACCTATTATTCCGAAAATTCCCATTTATAATAAGAACACAGATGAGTTGGCGAACATGTTTTCGGCAAGGTCTTTTCAAGTCATACCATTGCAAAGGTTAAGAGAGCAGTATTTAACATATGTGAGTGAGCATGGTGTAAATGGACAGGAAATCGAGTGAGACGACATTGGCTACCTATCAAAGAACAGTTAGTTCAGGTCACCAATAGGATGACTTGAGCTAGTCGTCGCCGGGGGTGCTGTAGTTGTGTTTTCAGCACAAACCGCATTTGTGAGGAGAGGTGAGTTGGACCATGGTAAGTACAACACACGAACAAAGAGTTTTTGCCGACAAAGGTCGCGATGTCGTATGGCGATAGCTTCAGCCACTGCAATGGTGCGCTGCTGTACTTATCTGGGTTGGTTAGCTGGCGCCTTGTAAACAACGGGGAAACTTTGGCTGGGTATCACGTTGTGTGCAGTGTCAGCTAAATGTTGCACTACGGAGCTGGTTATCGTCCTCCTAGTTCCAGAAGCTAGCCAGGGTGGATTGTGTTCCTTCATTCTTTGGCCGAGTTGCCTAGTCGTGCGTCCGATGTATTCCGCTGCACAGCAGCAAGAAAATGAGTAAACTAACATATTTTGGGGGTGGACAGACACTCTATCCTCGAGATTGAAGGGGCAAAAACGATTGCTGGTGAACCAGGTTCGGAGTGTTGCTGCCGGGAAAACTTTGTTTAGACTTGTGGAAAGTCTTCTGTTCAGTAGATCTGCCCGTATATCTCCCTTAAACGGGAGGCTAATGTAAACTGGTTTCCTTCCAGCTGTGGCTGTGATAGTGTTTGCTTCCTTCCTATTCAAATGCATTGTGATAAACTTGTCGGGGAATCCAGTGTCTCTCAGGATGTTAATGAGAGTTCGGAATTCTTGTTCCGGCGCATCATCAGAGCATATTTTCTTCGCTCTGTTGGTTAGGCTATGGATCAGGTTCCGTTTTTGCTTTAGTTGCTCGAAGCTGCTAAAGTGTATTGACCGGACCAAGTAGGTTTTCGGTAAACCGATTGTTTCAGTGTACCATCGTGACGTCGTTCAAGGCCAACATCTAGGAAGTGGAAGAATTTGTCGGTTTCTCCTTCCGAAGTGAATCGGGTGACAGCGTGTGCCGTATTGAAATGTTGTTGGAACGATTCCAATTCGTCTTTATTGTTAACAACAGCGAAGACGTCATCTACATAACGGCAGTATTACTGCATCCGTGTAAGCCTTTAAGGGACCATTTTCAAGCCTACTCATGAAAATCTCGGCTAGTATTGCGCCCAGTGGTGAGCCCATGGCAACGCCGTCAATTTGACGGTAGAGCATGCCATTGGACAGTAGTTGCACATTCAATGTGCATCGCAGGAGGAGTTCAATCAACGCGTTGACTGGGATAGGTGACTGAAAATTGTTTGCTTCTATGTAGTTACATAAGTAGTTAATCGTAGTTAAACACATTGAATGGTATAGCGTAGTGGTTTCGGGTTGATGCAGTTTCCCGGGGACGATTTCTGAATGAAATTATCCCCAGAAACACCGTGTGTGTTCGCAGATGATTTCAAAACATTTCTCCAAATTTTGTTTCAGTATTGCTGTCAAGCTGTTGCATGCATGATCTCCATCGCCTAGCCATGGCAGTGTGAAGTGGTTCGATTACATTTTACTTGGTTGGCACCATGAAAGTGGGTGCCGCTAGGGGGTCCCGAAATTCGACACGCGGGGGTGCTTTGGGTATTGTACCTCGCCGAGGTCAAATGCTGGGTTCTGGCTTGCAATGATATCTCCTTAGGCCTCCGGGAGCAACAGCTTGACTACGCGGCACTAGCCAGACCTCATTTGTCGCATCACACCGTTGCCTGCTAACCTGATTACCTATAGGGATCCATCCAACCTAAGGGTAAAACGTCAATCACTGCCAAGAAGTTCCTTTCATTGGGTGAAACATTATGATCCGGATGAGCACGTTTTTCATGGATCTGGGCACTCAAAACGGTCCCAGCAATTCTGCCGTAACACCTGAATCATGTTGGTTAGTACACTTTGGTCTAACCTTCTCTGTTTCCCGTGAAATGTGTTAGGAGATCCTCCGGTCCTGTACGATGAATCTCAAAGCGTGTTCCAGGTTCACTGAAATTGTAGCTATCGATCGCTGACAAGTTGGCCAGCAAGCTCAACAGTTTGTTACATCGCTTCTGAAAGCATCCTGTTGGGTGCTAAAGTCTCTCCAATGCCTGGCTCTTTTTGGCTGCTTTATTCACTGCTTAGTTTGGCACGTGATTAGCAGTGTATTTCCACTGCGCACCTTGAGCCGTCCGTCAATATTTGACCACGTGACATGGTAATTGCAAATTGAGCGGAGCCTAAGTGAGAACTACTCACATTGCTGATCAGGCGTTCGGGGCGTAACGTTAAATGTTCAGTCATTGGCAGGAAGATGACGGGTTCGGAACTCTCTGGGATTCACGCGCTGCTGATGATTTCAAACAAGGATGTGTGTCTACTTGATATTCAGTCTATCATTCCCGCCTCCGACACTAAACATGATGCTGTCACGAGACTATCCGGTTCATCCATGGAGGATACGCAATGGGTCTAGCCTACTGCCGTCTACTTTTGTTCTACTTGAGCTTCTTCTATGGTTTAGCGTAAAAGTCAGTATTTTTGAGATCGAAATAGACAGTAGGACAGCACATTTTCAAACGTCACACACAGAACCCCCTAAGCCCCCCGTCCACGATCGATGACAGACCGACTGTGAAATGAGCAGTTTATGCCAAATATGATGCGATTTCGCTCGATAAAGTACATCCACATCAAGCGCAGCTTCCTCAAACCGGATCACAGCCACTCATGTTACACATAAAGAATGTGCCTATCAAGACCTGGGTCAGGCACAACTGAAATGGTCACGAAAACTGCGATTCAAACAGCTGCCGACCGAAGAATCTATCGAAATCAAAAGTTTAATTGCTTGTTTTACTCAATTACTACCCATACGAGTTACATCCGCCCAGTTTAGTTTTCACCCTCGCTATTCATAATCGTGACCAACACAGGATAAACCCATTTACGCCCACATAAACGCGTACGTAATCACCTTTCTTCCTGCTTCTCTTGTTTTACCCACTTTCATGCCCAACTCAGTACTTGACAAGATACCTGCTCAAGAACCGAACCGTGTGGGTCGAATACTACAAATCCCAATATGGATGGGAAGGTCATTCCGGTGTGCAGTCCATTATATCGTGAGTTATACAACACAGTACGGTTACTAGTCTATATTACCACGCCTCGAACTTGATTGTGTAAGCTGGAGGAGAAGAACTGCTTGAGTTACAATCAAACTCATCCAACCGCGCCCCGATGACGTCACCTCGAAGGGTCATGAAACTTTTGCAACATTGTCAACAAAAAATAAGAATTTGTCACCTTGAAAATTTGCAGCTTATTGTATTTCATCGATTACGTACAACTCCGTACCACCATGGGCAGTGTCCCCCCCTCCGAGGGACACAGGACGGTAAATTACATTGGATTCGGTACTTTACATAAGGAAGAAGTGTGATCTGACGTCAGACTACCGGCTGACACATGGGACAGGCTAGATTTAACTGAGACAACTGAGTATCATGACTTCCGGTGACTTCGTACCATCGACACCACTGTCGCTATCCCCTGGGTGATCAGTGCCAACCGGTGTCAATATTGTTTCATCCAGTTGTCTGTCAACGGTGGCAAGTCTATCTACAGTCTGTCCGTTCGTCAAGCGGATCGATATCAAGGTAACGAGTACGCTATTGGCTATCGTGAAAGTCAGAACGCAAGTCTGCGTTGAAAGAAAAAAACCAGACCGGAACTATGAGCATTTTGCTTATCTCCTATTGACCGACAGAGGTTTGTGAGGCACTGAACTGTCGGATTAGAGTTTTAATGGGCAAACTGCACAGCTCTTTGTCAAGAAAAATAGCTTGTTGCAAGTCAAATTTAACTCTGTAATGGTGGGGTGGCTGTCAGAAAAATCATTATTCTTTACGCCGTCTGTGCGCCCAAATTGCAGTACCCTAGTTTGAACTGCCACGAGTGTGGCGAAATCCGAACATATTTCGGTTAAAGCAACCCACTCCAATGAGGAGGAAGTCAAAATACAAACAAACGTTATGTGCCCATTTAGCAAGAAGCATTTCATCTGTTCGTGCGCTGCCATTTTAAGAATGTACAATTCAAATTTGGCCAAGTTCAGCGCGTTTGAATTTATTTGGAAAGATTCCAGTTTTTTTTCAACAGAACACGTTGATTATGTGGAGTGAACTGAGTGATTATTTTTCACGGAGGCCACACCATGCTTGGTACGGTATTCGAGCTATGGCAGTACACTTACTTAACGGAACACGCTACTCATAAAGTGGCTGAAAACTTTCCAATGTCCCACAGCTCATTTTGCCCGTATATGAGCCTCATCTTGTAGGCTCTGCTTCAGAGCTTACCTTAGACTTGTGTTCGACTTGAACACTAAATTGCATTCAAATGTCGTTTTTTAAACAAGTTTGGTGACAATCGGTAGATTTATTGATGGGCAATGTTTCGCTTTTGACACAATAGCTTCGTCAGGCCAAGTGACTAGGTTCCGAGGTTGATTGAGATTAAAGGCCGAGGGAGAACCAATCAGCTAAGTCAAGCCAAATCTGTGTTGGGTGTCGGCCAAGGGAATTTCAGTATGTTAGACTGGTTGAACTAGTGTTCGGTCGGGAGAACCACCTACGTGTGTTTGGGTCCAGCCTACGGTCTAGTTCTTCTCGTTCGGTTCATTTGAACGTCGTTTGAACCTTCTGTCCATCTGTGTGGATGAGCTAGTGCAAAGGTAGCGAACATAAGGTAGAACATAACGTTGACGGAAACCCGGGGACTGCGCCCCAAGAAGGGCGAAACCGGTCGTGGGCTGTCGATGGATTTTCAGCAACTTTATGAGTAGTACATTACAAAGATATATTGCTAAGATAGTTGTGTAAGAGGGATGCTGTGACCTTTGGTCGGGTTGGGATTTCCACACCCACCCCCCGGTTTTCGCCAATAATTCCACGTGGATTGACAACCACACAGTCACGTTCAACTCGGCTTATTCAAGAACGCTTTCCACACGCTCGCCTGTTCCATACCATCGATTCTATTCACTCTGTGATGCTTAGTAATTTCCACTGCCTCGGCTATCAGTTGCTGTGGTGAGAATCGCAGTCCCCGTCTTAAAATTTCCACATTCTCCAGATCTATTCTACGTCCCCTGTCTAAGACATGTACCGCCATCGCTGAGTCTTTGACCAGCGTTTGGTATTCATCTGCATCCCTTGGTGGTTTGTTTACCTTTCTTTTATGCTCACCAGTTCTGGTGTACAACACCCTGGCAGTTTGTCCTATGTAAACCTTAGCGCAATCGTTGCAGTTAATTTTATAAACGCGGTATTTAGTCCTTTTAACCATTCAGATAGCATTCAAATTCAAACATTATTTTGTAAAATAACCTGGATTTAATGGAAGTGACTGAAGATCATCCTATAAGAGAGGTTTAACCGGGACTTCTCTGATTTGCCTCCTCGAAACCTCGACGTTGCCTGTGTAAAAGGATTCGAAAGCAAGCTATATCTTCTGGATATGCCTCTTACCACGCTGAGGTTTAAGAAAGCTACATTCCGAAATCATAAAGTTCAAAATTCGTCCCCCATCAATCCTGACAGAGGATTTTGAAAATTTGCGAAGCCTGGTTACTCTTGCCAACCAAAGTTAACAACCTCGTCGGTCAGAACGATTCTCACTGTTCACCTAATTGTACACCATAGATATGAATGCAATGAATGTCGTTTGATACGAACTGTGTCAAGATATCGCTCTTCGAGTAAGACTCATAGATGGGAAACTAGTCGAACTCAGCCATCGCTGATCACTGATAATGTTCTCGATATTGGCAGTTTCATTGATGTTAACGCCACGTGTTTCATTTTAGTGCAGTCTAATCTACCTACATCATTATTATCATTGTCAGCTGTAATAACCGCGAACTCGTCGTACAGTAGTTGTAGCTGCCGCAGTTTCGTTCACCGATGATTTAGGGTGGGGGAAGCTAGGTAGCTGCGCATTGCAGGCGGGAGCTGATAAATTGGTGCATAAGTCCAGCACTGTCAGTGGGCTGTCAAGTGGGGGGTGGTTGGTTGGAAAATGAGCTATGCATTAAAGACAATAAATTGGATGAACGCCAGCGCAGCTGAGTTTGCTGGTAATGGCTTTCAAAATTTCCTTCCAAGTCATTGTTTGACCGTCTGTGGCTCGTTTCCATCCTTAACGTGGTTGTGCGAAAAGAGCCCATCGGGAAGTCGATCGACTGGCATACGCAGCACGTGGCCACGCCAGCGCAACCTATGCCGTGTGATCAGTTCATCTAATCTATCGTTAACAGTGAAACTCGATAAGGCTTTGTCAAGCACAGGTTTGCACTGAGGAATGTATGGCAATCACGCCCTACCTGACCTGGTTCATTTTCACAAGTGAAATCCATTCAGTCTTGTGCCTGTGACAGTGAAACTCGATAAGGCTTTGTCAAGCACCGGTTTGCACTGAGGAATGTGTGGCAATTACGCCCTACCTGACCTGGTTCATGTTCACAAGTGAAATTCATTCAGTCTTGTGCCGGTGATCTCTAGAGAGAGTTGCTGCTCGCATCTGTTTGTTAGTAGATACAAGTAAATAGACTGTTTGAAACGGTCCCATTTCCCATCCCATTAGTTCTTTTCGTATTATTCAACTCTGGATTGGTGAGTTGATCAATGTGTTTAAATGC